GACAGACGTCCATAATCCCGTTTGCACTTCATTGGGGGGCGAAATCTGTCTTAAGGAGATTTGCTTACTTTATTGGCATACCTTGCTTCATTTACTGTCTATTTTTCTGCTTATTTTATTTCTTCTTTTGATTGCGTTAGTCGAATTTCCGACAACAGAACGTACAGGAGAAAATGGTGTCGCTAAAGCTACAGAAGAGACTGGCGGCCAGCGTTATGAAGTGCGGGAAGGGAAAGGTCTGGCTCGACCCCAATGAAGTCGTCGAAATTTATAAGGCCAATTCCCGTACTGTCTCCTTTTTTCCTTTTCACATACATAGGATTTTATGTATGGATATCTTCATATGGATATTAATTTGTGTATAATAATCAGTTTTTTATTTCATTCTTGGAAAATCAGTTCTGATTTTATTATTTCAATACTCTAAATAAGCAAAATTTGCGCTTAGCCTAGATTGGATTGTTTCCTGCTTATTATGTATAGTAAAGGATTTATTCTGATGAATCATTAGCTACTTGTCTGTTGTGGACTCTTATTCTAGACGCTTTTTATCAGTTCAGATTCTCTACTGTGGTTTTTTTATGGGACTGGTACATTTCTAATTTGATTGCTGGGTAATATTAAGTTAAGTAGGGTATTTGTAGAAATTATTGGAAAAATAAAATAGAGTGCTCAGTACTACTGGTGTTACTATTATGGGATAATGGTGAGTGTTATTGATTTTTTTCTTTATTTGTTTTAATCATGTCCATGTTGTGAGTCTAATTGAAGGAAACGTATTGTTTTGGGAGATTGTTATAAGTTGCACAACCTGTTTAATGAACCTCGAAGCATTGTATTTCTCAAATTTTGGTAAAAAAAACTGTTCTGTTCACTTAAAAGGATGATAAAATATCGTAAAACGTTTTCAATATTTGACATGAATTATTAGGAAAGACTTGCTGAATTGGTGTGCAAATTTTATCAGATAGTTGGATACAATCTTTATCAACTGGGGCTAGACTTTTATTTATTTATTTATTGTTTTTTTACATTTTTATTCATTGGGAGTATATCGTTGCTTGGAATAGTATACAATTTTCCTTTTTGAAGTAAGGAATTTCAAGGCATTCTCTTTTACGACTTTTCCTTATAATGCAGGACAAAACATTAGGAAGTTGGTAAAAGATGGTTTTATCATCAGGAAGCCAACTAAGATTCATTCTCGATCCCGTGCTCGGAGAATGAAGGAGGCTAAGAGAAAGGGGCGTCACTCAGGATATGGTACTGTCTTGTGATTGAGGATTTATATATTAACATTCTCCAGTAACTGATGCTTGATGTTTTGTTGAAAGGGAAGAATATGAGCCAAATTTCTCAAGTGCTTTGTGAATTTTTTCAGGTAAACGTAAGGGTACCAGGGAAGCAAGGTTGCCCACTAAAGTTCTTTGGATGAGGAGGATGAGGGTTCTTAGGTGCTTGCTTCCCAAGTACAGAGAGTCGAAGAAAATTGATGAGCACATGTATCATGACATGTACATGAAGGTGAAGGGTAATGTTTTCAAGAACAAACGTGTTCTAATGGAGAGTATCCACAAGTCAAAGGCTGAGAAGGCCAGAGAGAAGACTTTATCTGACCAGTTCGAGGCCAAGAGAGCAAAGAACAAGGCTAGCAGGGAAAGAAAGATTGCTAGGAGGGAGGAACGTCTAGCTCAGGTGATAGATTTAAAATTATTTGTTAGTGGTTATATTCTGCTACTGGATTTAATGGTACTGGGGATGTACATGTACCAAATTTATTCACTTGTGCATACTTCTGGTATTGTGTTATTGTGTCTGCGAACGCTCATCCTGTATACATAAAATCCTTTCCTATGCCTCTCTGATGTCACTCCCTTGAGTGTCAAATATCCGTGGCTGTGTGATTACATTTTATACCTGAATTAACAAATTTGCCACATATAATATACTACAGGGACCGGGCGATAGAGCTGCAGCACAAGTGTCAGCCCCTCCACCTGCTACCCAGTCAGCTCATTGAGTGACTTGTAAATTTGCTTCATTTCTTTCATTTGGTGATTGCTCTAGCCATGACTTGAATTTCTTCTAAATTGTTACGCAGAGGAAACAAGAAGGCTAAGAAGTGACTTATCTTTGGTTGCTAGTTTCAAGAGTTGGTGGATCAATTTCATTGAAATTTTTTTGTTAGTTTCTGAGATCTCTGTCCGGCCTTTGGTTTTTATCTTTTGATAAAACTGATTTACTATGTCGATTGTACAATGTTTTATTACACGTTAATATTTATATGTCGTCAATAAATTTTGCTGTTGGAATTCACTTTTTGGAATTGGTATTCTTTTTGACTACATAAGATTGAATTATATAAATGCAATGGGTAGCTCTTCTGGGGCATAGCTCAGTGGTACAAAGGACAGGA